AAGGTTGATTGAGGACTTTCTGTTGTTCCAGTTCACTAGCTTCTCTCCTAATAGATGACTTCGAATGATACGGCGCAAGACCATATGAAGACAGGACGAAGGTTTATTAGAGATGCTCATCGGATACTTATAAACTCAGAGGAATGCCTTGAAGTTGAGCAAAGTTGTTGATGAAGTTACACATCACTTGAAAATTTATTTTCAAAATGAAGATAGATTGTTTCGTTTATTCGGAATGCGTATTAGCGTAATAGCGACTGCTATTATTTTCCACAGTTGTTGAAGTACCACTCAGTAAAGCCAAGCACTCTTTATGAAATGGATGTTAGACATCCACACAGACAGTGACAACTTGGCAAAAACATTTAAATATTTCCTTGCTTCAGAAAATCTTACAGACCTTCCACGGTCATTGTAAGTAAACACATGCGGACAATGATGCATGCTCCTGTCGTATAATGTTTCCGTCATAGAGAGAAAAGTTAGCTAGGTTTATATTAGGTGGGCATAAGTAATGTAACTTTTCATATATGCAACTTTTGTCTTCTTGAACGTAGCGCATTCATTTTTTAGCAATTTAAGGATTATGATGTATACTTTGAATGTAGATATTTTTGCCGAATCTTGCCATTTTACGTAAGGGGTTACATAGGTTTTCGGTATAAAGGAAAAATTTTTAGCGCCAGATTTTGCTGAAAGCCTATGAGGTAAACGATATCATCCTTGCTTACTCTGAAATGATATTCGGCTTGCTCTGTAAGCCACCTACGCCGAGCCCTGGGCACCATCCTCGCCTGTAATGCAGCCAAATCACATGCAAGAATGTGGCGCTCACAAAAGGGTTGACTGCGCAAAGAGGTTTCTGTTTATTTTTTCGAACTCTTTAGACCTTGCTTCATCAACCACCCATTTTTCTAGTTTCTGACAATGAGTGCCTATTCAAAAATAATAGGGCTTAATGAAAATTAAGCTTGTTAAAAATGCCATTTCAGGTTCTTGTTTGGATTCAATCGTGCAAAAACGTAAAAATTTTCCAAACCTAATAATTAAGCGGTGACAGAAGTCTGCATCGTAGAGGGGTCTACGAAACCTACAATCACCCCAAAGCGGCCCGGAATTGACGGTTGACTCGGCCCACTCAACGGCAAGGGCGGCCGTAGCGTATCGTCCATGTCTCATTCAAGTGCAACATGGAGAGCTTCTAAAAAAGCTGGATTTTGCCATTTTGTCGCTGCAAAGCTCATTCAGTGCTGGCCATAATTATAAAGACACTCTTGGCGCAAAAGTTTTTTCAGTTTTTTCAATCCATTGGCAAACACCCTAGAATGAAGATAAACAAACGCTTTAAAATGTTTCCAGTGCAGAATTTCTTCCTCTTTCCAGCTGCAAACTCCCGTTGTGTCTCTTTGAGAGAATGACAAGATATTTGCCGGAAATCACAACCGCTCGTTTTTACCATGTCCAACTTTCATTGATTTTCAAAATTTTTGTATGAGATTTTCGGAGGAGCCCCAATGACCACCAGATAGGGCAAACCTTTTGCCGACCTATGCATTTTTTTCAGCTGCTTTTTCAGATTTTTGCTAAATAATTTTCTAAGTGTCTTGTGTTGTGGAAAAATCGCATAACCTGTTATTGCACCAAACACTGCAAAACCTACAAAATACTGAGGTTTCAACATTCGATTATTACTACCGCTACCATTACAAAGTAAATGAGCGATTTTCGCTTCAAATTATGAGAATTCGAAACATAGGTTACGTCAGTGCGCACTCATGAAATTGAGATATACTGCGATTTTCCCCATAAATTTCGTAGAAATTCTAAAAGACAAGGCGTAGGGCTACAAAAAATTGCTTCCGTTGGCAAAAGGTTTGCCCTATGTGCCGGTTATTGGGGTTCCTCCGAAAGCCACATACAAAGATTTTGAAAATTAGTGAAAGTTGGACATGGTAAAAACGAGTGGTTGTAATTTCCGGCAAATATCTCGTCTCTCAACGAAACACAACGGGAGTTTAGCATCTGGAAAGGGGAAGAAATTCTGCATTGGATACATTTTGAAGCGTTTGTTTATCTTCATTCTAGCGTGTTTGCCAATGGATTGGAAAAACTGACAAAACTTTTGCACCAAGAATGTCTTTATAATTATGGCCAGCTCTGTATTAGATCGTTCCGAAGGTCCTTTCCGTTTTTTTTTTCAACATATCATAAAAACTCGTGGAATAAAGATAGGCAAACGTTTCAGACACTGTCTGACGCATCTCTTCATCGTCTTTTTGAATGTCATGCTCATGTGCTGGACACTCTCATGGTCACTGAGATAATCGCCGTAATTTTGGACCCATGGTTTTGACTTTTGAAAAAACTTTGATAGCAGTCAGAATAAACAAAGTGCAATGTATTGCAATTTTTCAGCATCTATAGCTGGTCTTAAAAAATTTTTTTTTAGAATTATTTTTCTGATGCTATCAAATTCCACCTTTGGTGATGCCAAGAGCCATAGAACATAAAGCGGCGCACAACTAAGGTGTCGTTCGAAGCAGCTTTTTCTCCTCTTTTTGAGGAGTGTTTTTTCTTACCAATTTATGGGGTTTTCGGCGATAAAATTTGCATAATTCTTGATTTTGAACCCGCCTAAGGGTATACAAGTGAAATTCGAAATCTTTTTAAAGCGGTAAACGCTCAGTCACTTTGTAAAAAAGTAGACAATCATAACAAACTTTTGAAAGATTCGAATTTCGAAAATTTGTTAATGTTTGGAGCGTTTGTATATTGTGACATCGAAAAAGTGAAGACTTCTGGAAAAGTTCTCAAAAAAAACGCTGAGAAGCCTGTTGAGATTGCCAAAAAATTGCATTGCATTGCACTATGTTTGCTCCATCTGACTGCTGTCAAAGCTTTTTCAAGAGTTGAAAATGAAGATTGTCAAAAATTGCCAAACTTGGACATGGTAAAAACCATGTGTCCGGAATTTCGGCGATTATCTCAGTGACCATGAGAGTAACCAGCACATGAGCATGATAGTTAAAAAAGGAAGAAAAGCTGCATCGGGTAATACCTGAAGCGTTTCTCTATCTTTGTTCCACATGTTTTTATGATAGCTTGAAAAAGAGACAACTTTCCGAAGGACCTACCCTATTTTCAATTGTATAAGCCGCACTTTTTCAAATTTTCCCACGAGCTGCTCAGCCGCTTCATTGTGTTTCGAGAAGCGATCTTTGTGCCGCACGATTCTTTCAGCAGTACGCAGCACGGTATAGGGCCCTTTGGTTGCGAGGTCCTTTGATGTGTTCGGGCTGGTCGATGGTCTAGAGCCACCCCGCGGCTTATACACCTGAAAATAGGGTAATATATTGAAATGAGCGCACCTACAAAGCCTCTCGAAACGCAGAAACCAGCAATACAGTTTTTTGCCGTGACGCTGCTTTTACTTGAAGATTACGCTTCTGAGTTCTAAGTGCAAGTGCTTATATTGCAGGGATAGTGGCATTTGCAATGAAAGGTTGGAATGCCTGTCTTTCTCACTATGAAGCAGCAGTCAAAAAATTATCAAGGGAGGAAAGCACACATGACTCTTAACACAACGAAGCAGCAAGAAATAGCCGCTGCAGAAGGCTGGAAACAAAAAATACGCGAAGGAAAAAGACTCTGACAAAAGAAATGCCGGAAAACCCTCTTGCCTCTCCAGCATTTGAAGTTTTTGTGCACACACCGCACAACGGAATAACTAGACAAATGACGTTTACCACATCTGGGCCGGTAGTAATCTAACCTACCTGGTGGCATCAAAAATGGCAAGTGCACAAATCGTGGAAAGATGCCAACTCCGCCGGCAGTCGCGGAGTGATTGTAGGTCTTAATAATCTTATGTAACCTTAGCACGCAATCATTTCGCACATTAAATTTTGATGACGCAGACAGCCGCAAAATTGTTACCTCGCGCGCGGTCGAACCTATGTGCGTACTTGAAGTGCCGCTAGGTTTGTCCTTCAAGCGACAAAATACAAATACTTCGATTTCACTCAGAACCTTGGATGTGGAACTTATCTGGCATACTGATTACGGATGTAGTACACAGTCCACGAAATAAAGTCCCCTTGTTGGCTAACGGCTAAAAGTACAGTCCTTTTTTTCGTGTTAGAGTCCTTTCCAAGAAATTTAAAAGTTCATTCAAGTGGAATGTTAGTGGCTTATGCCATTCTAGGTGCCAGCCTCGACATAACTGTTTATTAGTTGCAGTCACGAAACAAGCAATATCCAGGCTAAAATTGTAACGAACGGAAGTTTTCAGCGAATGAACGAATATCGAATAATTGATTTTTCAGTATTGATCTAACAAATGTAATCGAATAATTTTGTTTCGAAAATTTTTTGAGCGAATGGATATTGGACAATTGATTTACGAATAGTTTTCAAATGGACAAATATAGATTCCCGATTTTGATTTTATTTGAATTCGAGTATTCATATATGGGCACATACAAAAATTCGAACTTTCAGATATCCAAATAATCGAACTTGGTTGAACAAATATCGACTATTCGGATAAATGAATATTCGAATTTTCAAAGGCAGTATCCGAACATTCGGCTGCAGTATTCGAGTATTCGAATGCAATATTCGAATATTCGAACAGCTCCTTTAAACTTCTCGAATATTCAAGTATTCATAAGTCATTTTTCCAAGATGTCGAATGAACGATTTGTTCGAATACATGCAATTTTCAAATAAGCTATTCGAATACGAATATTCGGTTCGAACTATAATCATCAGTGTTTTAGGTCGTTCACGGCCATGCTAATTTCAAGATTTGATTTAATTTTTATTATTTTTAATTCTAATTTTAATATGAACAAGCTATGGATCTAGATAATGGTAGAAATCAAACCTGATACAAAGTTCAAGTGCAATTTTCGATTGTTTCCAGAAGCCCATCCCAGTCAAGAAAAATTACGTAAGTGGAAAAATTGTCCCGTCAGCATCTCATAAAAATTTATGAAATGGTCGAGCGAATGGGAAACTATCCAAAGCAGCACAACCTACCACTCCGGGTAGAAGAGCTGCAAATGGCACTCCTCCCGGACAGAAAACGTGCAAAATACGCTAAGGAAGATCGAAAGCGAAGAGTGGTGAGGTTTCATCTTTACTGGATTTGCTCTCTCACAGTTTTCATCCAATTCTGTATTGAATCGGATTCATCGGCAGCCCTCAATCAATCCTTTTATCTTTTCTCTCCTTTTTCCTCATTCTTTACTCCATACCAATTCTTAGCAGAAATCATTCTCTGATTATTATAATCATTCACATACGAGCCCTTAACCAGACGGTTTTCAACTTGACTTATTGTTAATCGTAAGCGATTACAAGTTCTTGCTAATAATTTTGATTTTTTATAATGTGCATAACTACCTTTCCGACCTTTACCTGATTATCCAAGGAAAAGAATGATTATCATCATTTCATGTGTGTCTGGTAACATCAATCGGTATTTCTTCTATGCTTAACAACTTCCTTGTATGACAAAATCGGCTACTCAGCTCTCAATTGGAATTTCTTTTGTCGATGAAAAAACAAACATTTTTTAGGAGCGAGTGCACTTTTCGATTGTTTCCAGAAGCCCATCCCAGTCAAGAAGAATCGAATTAGAAGCGACAAAGTCGATAGCATTAACATTAGCGAGGTTGCCTCAAATCCCAAGGAAGTTACTGACCACATGCATGAAGTAGGATTGATGAAGAGAAGCACGGAATTTTTGACATTGTAAAAAGCATTTTAGGATGTGGTTGCTGCGCTCATGAGTGCAAAAATCTACGGTCATGTGTATCGCGGGTTGCTTTGGTATGTGTTGGTACGACACAGAATATGAAGTCAAAAATGGACACGGAGTTGGACAAGGTATGCACTTAATTTGTTTTGTGTCTACATGCTTTAACAAGAAATAATGTTGAACTTATATATCAACTCTCAAAAATATATTGTTTTTAAACAACCTTTGTATCTAAGAAATTAGGCTTTTCAAGATTTCCTCATTAGATTTTATGACTGACTGTCATATGAGTTCGTTGTTTTTGATTTTCAGCTCTATCTTACCCTCATCAACCGAGCTGGCGACGTCTCGAATGCTTTCATTTGTGAGGATGCAAATGAAGCATTGGAAAAGGTGATGAAGCACGCATCAGCTGGGAAGGGTCTCCATTCGATTATCACAGCTGGGTCGAAGTAGAAACTAGTTCTTTTCAAGAAAAATCTTACCGGTCTCGTAACGACATGTATATCAATTTGAAAGAGCCGAAAAGAGAGGATTAGAGGATTAATTATGAAAGGTTCAAAATCTCCTTTTTGGTACTTTTTTCCTTTCTTTAACTGGAGTTGGTTGGGTGAGAAATTTCATTACGTTTACGACAGCATATCTTTCTTTTCTCCAACTCCGTTAGTCAGCAAGTTATAGTATGTAGTCGAAAAAAAAACGCTTTGCATGTGATTCTGCAAGTAATTGTTAAACTGAAAAACTGTAACTGTTGAACTGTCACATCAAATTCAGAGCCGTTATACATTGAAGATCCTTATAATTTCTTCATTTCTAACTTATAGACCGTTTGGTTAGAAGAAAGAGTTTGCTTTGTGAACACTCTCCTAACAAATGTGCATTCAAAACCAACTTTACATCGAGTTTTTTCATACACTGCTCACCACCCTTTTTTGGTGCTTTTCGTTAGCAAGAAAAGTTCTCTGTCATGAATTCTTAAACTAATTCATTTACATTCTTTATGAGCAAACTTTCAGGTCCAAAAACAATCGTCTTGTGCTGGTTTTGTTGCCACTCTGGTATCGCGAATGGGAGTCTCGGCTCTACTTAACACTCCTGATCATCTATCAAAGATCGTCCCTCAACTGATTGCCTTCTGCAAGGATGCGAATCCACAAGTGCGAATGCATGGAAAGCGAACTTTTGTGAGCTTAAGTCAGGGCGAAATACCGTATTTCATTCGCTTTGTCCTGTCCTCTTTCAATCTAAACTTGGCCTTTCGTAATCTCACTTCACACGGCCCTTTGTCTTTTTCGGCAGCTTCAGCAAAACATTTGCAAAACTCTTTTCAGGATCCTGACTTCGATAAGCAGTTGAAGAAAAGTATTAGCGATTCAGCTAGCTGATATCGGTAAAAGGTAGTTTTTTTCTTTTTCTCTTTAATAGTGATTGATTCCTGTATCTAACAGGTTCCGATTTTTGAATCTTTCTATGAATGCTGATGATTTCGAATTTACCTTCAAATAAATAATAAACTTAGAGTGGCATCGATTCTTTGGACAGCACGAGTACCTCTTTGGGTGCATCACTATCCCATAGTGAAAGTATACGGAAAGCTGTGCAGCGGAAATTATGAATAATAAACTGTCGGGTTTCTGCAAATTTGAGATTGTCAAACAAGTTTTTTAGTTGGGAAAGGCGTATTGGTGGACTCAAGCGATTCCTAGAAATGACTATAACAGCTCCCAAAGCCATAGTAGCTAGTGGTACTGAGGTGGGAATGCCTTAACAAACTGTTTATGCTGATTAACCTCTTCTATTTGCAGCTCATGGAAGCTTTTATTGGTCGGCTCAATGACATCAACAGCAAGGTTTCTCTGGAAGGTCTTGACACCTACTTAGCATCTCTGGGTATTCCTTTTATCGCCAAAATTGATCAGCCGCTTTTCCAATGCTACAAGATTATTTTTAGGATGTACTCGGCTGAATCTCCTCTCAGAGCTGTATTAAATCAACTGGTGCTTGCTCTGATGTCCCATTTATCCAGCAAAAGTGAGGAGCATCGTAGCACAGCTCAAAAATGTCTGCGCGATACAGTTGTACAAATCGGTTAATCTTTAAGTCAAAAAATAAAAACAAAATTTTTTCGTTTTTATTTTTTGACAAAGCCTTTCAGACCAGTGTTTTTGCAAGATCATGACCTTAAAGGAGGATCCCATATCTATGGAAAGTGTATCCAAGATTTTTACCAACTGGAAACAGAGTTGAATTTCAACACTCTTTGCTTCATATTCTCTTAATCATAAAGCGTTTCGCCAAATTTGATTGTTTATTTATAATAAAATATTATAATAATGTTTTTATTCACAAATTTTTTAAATTTCATATAACTTTCTGTTTTCTAACAAACTTCAAACTCTTTTTGAGTTTTTCCACGGTTTACGATTTTAAATTTTTATTTTGCCCAGTTGAACAGCGTCTTAATTACAGATCCTGCAAGTTTTTCTCCAGCCATGGCCGCTGCTACACATAAAGTAAAGCTAATATAAAAAAAGAACCATTCATGCTCAGCGTATTCAACCGTAAGCATATTTTAATCTACCAGCTACCCTAAATTCGTCTAGAGCCTACTTTTTTGGGGTTAATTTCAAACTTTACCCATAAACCAAAGCAGGTAGAGGTGGTTGCTTTACCGATTCTTTGGAATAGTTTGAAACATGGAGTGGCGGACCTCGAAATGAAGAAGGCAGTGACTGAGTTTGCCAAAGGACTCACTCAACTTGTGAGGATATACACTTTCATTCTTAATACGGTAATCATACTGTAACCTATACTTTTTAGATGGGTGAGCGTGCTCTACTTGACCGGGCTTCGATGGAGCTGGATCCATCACGGAAGAAGTTACACGAGTCATTGATACGATAGCTCTTTGCCTTTTATCCGCTTCTCTTCCCAAATGCTCACGGGTAATTAGTGCAAGGGGCGATGAGAGCCCAAATAATAATTTGCCAAAATTTCTTGCATCATCCCCTATACAGCACAGGACAGTTCCCCTCTCAGATGCTCTTATTCAAGATGTAGATGAGCTTTTCCGATAATACAAGATGTAGGAACCCTATTTCACAATTATGTAGGAGAAAATTTGCCCTTTGTAGATCGAAAATCAGTCTAAAGTTCAGCAACTTTCACTGCCTGAAAGATTTGTAGCTGACATAATTAAGGTGTTTTACTCTATTAGTACGAGTTAGTACCCTTACTCTTAGTGCAATCCTACTGTAAGTACTTCATCTCTTCGATGCTTCCTATAATACGGACTAAATCAATTTCTTTGCTGAATTCCTAGTCTTACTGTGATAACTTTTTAATCTAATTGTGAATTATTTATTTGAAAACGCAGCAATGTACAATAAATCAACTTCTATACCCGTATGCTGTGCATTCTGAGACTTGAGTGGTAGACACGAATGGAGCCAGTCATCTTCCAAAATGAACTGACGTGGAAGCCATAAACCTCAATTGAATTTTTTTCATGAAATTTTGTAGAAAAATAATGAATGTATATGTTTTGTATGAATGAAGCCCTGTTGAAGCTTGTGGAGGATAAGAACTCCAAGATTCCATGAAACTGCCCATATCATTATAGCGGATCACTTACTGTTTTCAAAGCTGTGCGTACTTGCTTAGTGCTAGGGTAAGTCCACCTTGTGAGCATACACATTGAAATAAAATACAGATAGGATGCCGCAGCAGGATTAGAACAATAAATAAGACGGCTTTGAGGAGATTGTTACTGTATCAGCAACTCTTGGCGTAGGCGCTAAAGCTTTGGAGAACCATACAAAAAAATCTGCTGCTCTAAACGATAAGTTCCACGGTTATTGCTGAGCACTTGCCTCCGCTTTTACGTTCTCTAACAACAGAAAGGAGGCTGAGAAATACCATGTAGCCCAATCCACCAGCAACCAATGTTCTTCTAGCTAATGAATATGATTCCTTGTCCCTCCGGAATTCGTTCCTTGCAAGAGGACATTGAATATTAAGTTTTTCAAATTGGCAGGGTTTTGTAAGCAGGTAGTTAGATTTTGAGATAGCGTTATATTATCCTTCATATCTCCCATCAAAATGCGAATAATCAATTAGCGATTTTAAATATTGAGAAAAGAACTGATGAGTTTTTCTTGTTACATATATCATGAACTGCATGCATCCATCGCAGCCTGCAGCAATTTTGCTATAGGATTGTAAATCTATACAAAATCTATATTCTATTCGAAAATTCGACTACTGTCGAATCTCTCGATAAGGGCCCTGTACTGAAAAAAAGTGGTTCTAAGGCTGCGTTCATACTGATTCCCTTGTTCTGGAACTGTTCCCGCACAGTTCCCGCACTGTGCCCGCACTGTGCGAGAACTGTGCGGGAACAGTTCCAGAACAAGGGAATCAGTATGAACGCAGCCTAAGCGGTAGTGATCCGATAGTGCAAAAAAAGAAAACTACCTTATTAAATTCTGTTCTGGACCAACGGAAAACTAGATATCTTAACGTTTCTCAGTGAAAACAGGAACTCACAATGCCTAAGATGCGCGAGTAGTCGAAACGGTACTGAGAGCAAAATAAGTAGTTAGAAGATTGTACGCTCCAATGGTAAATTTATCACGCGCGATATAGACAGGAGATGAAGATCTGAATTTTGGTATGGATTTGGGCAGAAACGCTAATTAAAAAATTCTAAGTTTCAGATCGATAAGTGATAAAATATTGCTTTTGGTAAAACTAAAATTGCGCATGCTCACCCTGCAAGTCCATTTATATGTAGTTGTAGAAAGCTTCTGAATGAGCCAAAGGGCCAAGTATGAAAGACAGTACCAGAGTAGTCACGGGATAACAAGCATTGCGTAAATATTGTTCGAAGAATAAGTTACAAGTAGTTTGTTTTGGCTCACTACATCGTTGAAAAGACAAGCCTTTCATGCGTTATTACAGTTGAAAGCACGTAAATTAAGTAACCATAAAATAATTATTGCGTTAAATACAGAGTGTCCTAAAAAGATGTGCACACTGTTTGATTGTTGATAACTCTCTTGCTTTGATGTCTTTTGCTGAGCCTGTTGCACCGTCCTGTAGGACGAGGTTTAATTTAGATTTGCAGTCTTGAGCGAATCACCAATCACCTTCATTACTGTAGGATTACGGTATGAACTTTTAGCGTACAGTGCCACAGTGAAGGTCTTTTGATGAAGTAATTTCAAAAAATCTGAAAATTTGTGTACCAATCTTTTCAAGTGTGCTGATTTCATTAACTTTCCACCACTTTTTCGAGCGTCCTTGATGGCGTGATCACATTTCTGACGAACATAAGGAACAGTTGTTACCCTAAATTCAAAATAACTTATGAAAGAAGCACTATACTGAAGTGCAAATTTCACGTTTAGAATCAGCGACTTCGGTTGGCTCAGTTCAAAAGTTTCTGGCTTGTCTGGCTTTCTTTCCATGGCAAAATATCGCTTTAAATGGCCCAAAATCCTCCTCGAAGTTCCTACCGCATCCTACAGTAATGAAGTGTAATTGATAATTCGCTCCATATCGTAACTCTAAGTATGAGTCGAACCTACAACCTCGCTCTACAAAATGGTACATCAAACTTGGCAAAACGCATGAAAGCAGTAGAATTATTAACGATCAAACAGTGTGCACATCTTTTTGGGACCTTATATTTCAATATATTTTGCTTTTGAAAGCGAACGCTTAGAATCTTATCTGAGAACCACCCTAAGATATTACTGATCGCTCGTTTTAAAATTGAGCATAGTACCTACAGTTAGTATTAGACCAAAGGGAATTGAAGGGCAAAATAAGCCGATAATTTTATTTTCTTAGTCATGAAAAGAATGAGAAGTTATTCTAATTATACGCTTAAGACAACGAAGCGCTGATAAAAGGAACACGAACGTGGTCTTGAGCGGTGGCGACAAGGTTGCCAAACGGCATCGAACCAGTTTTGATGGGACGAGGTAAAAACAAGGAAAAAACATATGTAACTATCAGTGAAGAAGTCGAAACATGTACCTAAAGTGACGGATCACAAGTGTCAGTTCAATACTATCATCACTACATGGAAACATTGCTTCTCAGGTTACAAAACCATAAGAGCTTATGAATGACTGCTGTCATTCGTTCGAGCAATCTGCTTCAATTTCGAGTGAATTTCCTTCCTTCAATACCTTAGAAAATGTTTTGATGTAACGACGCGAGTGATTTTACTTCTGCTTGAAATGTTAAAATTGTTTGACATTAAACAAGAATTTTCAGTGTAGCAACTCAGACTTTTGATGTGACCATCAGTCTAATTCTCTGGCGAAGGACATAAAATGATAATAAAGGATGGTTGGTGTACTCAAAAAGTAGAAGCGGACGAAGTTTTGGAACTCAGACGGTTTATGCTCGAACCAGAACAAAAACGTGATTTGTCTTGGTGTAACGTCATTGTAAAACACAAAGCACGCTCAGCTGTTAATCGCATCAATTGCTACATCACCCAAGTAAAAAAAGTGATGAAGACTATGTTTAGCTAATTCACGGTGGAAGATCATTTGATACACGGATAGTAAAGTAATTTTAAAAGAAAAGACATTGAACTATAAAACGCGTTTCAATATAGCGTAAACTCAATTTTGATCTAAACAAGATAGTTTAGATTTTTGTGTTCCTAATGATGATGTGTTATAAAACACCGTTGCACATTTATGAACTAGGCATACTGACTGATTTTATCAAAAACCAGTGCTTCACCTCTGCTTCGCAGAGGCTCGCACTTGCTCTACTGTCTAGCCCCTACTCATTTTCGCATGATGATGGCATTGAAACTCACCAAGCAATGTCGAGTATCACGGACAAAATGACACGGACACGGACAACTGCTCATGAAAGCTTTTCATGTGAAGTCGGTCATTTTGCGTGGATGAAACTTTTTGCAGGAGAACAAATGCAAATTCTCATAGGTTTTTAATTTTCCCATGGTCTTGACAGTCACCATAAAAACAATAGTCACCGTGAGCTACATTTTTGTTCGAAAATCTCGTCAAATGCTCTGGTAAAACCTTGACGAATTGACCAT